TTGGCAGCGGGCGGCCTTTTCCCGAGCCGCTGTGGTCATCGCCCGTCGGTGGGAACCAGCCGCAGCGTCGCCGCCGAGGTCCCTGTGCACGTCCACGAAGTCGCCCTCAACGGTGTCCCGGCCAGGCTGGCGCATGAGGGCTTCTCGCAGCTTCCTGCGGGTGGCCAACGCTGTGGTCCTGTTCCCGCTGAGCGGAAGGTTGGCTTCCTTCATCTCAAGCAGAAGGCCCGAGAAGCAACGGCGAGCAGCTGGGCAACCATGGTGCAGGGCCCAGTTGCATGGCGCGAGGCGTCGTCGACCACGTTGGGGATCCTGGCAGTGGGAGCCGCCATAGCCGCTGCTCTGAGGGCCGAGATGAGGAGGAGCTTGGCCAAAGCCGTGGCGCACGAACATCCAGCAACCACAGTGCCATTCGCCGTGGCCGCATCGCTGGGGCAGGTGCCGATGCGGGCCCTCCGAGGGGCCAGATAGGTGCAGCACAGCGCTCTCCGCAACCTCTGGTCGAACCCCTGCGCCTAGGCCGCAATTCTGAGCTCCTCGTGCCCTATGTGCTCGTAGTACCTGGCGCGCTCCTTCTGTCGGATGCGGGGCCAGATCCTGGCGAGCAGCGGCGTGGGCCCGATGGGGCGCTGGCCGCCGTCGGGCTTGGGCATGACAACCATGGTGATGGTCCAGAGCTCGCCGCAGTGCGGGCAGCGCCCCCAGGAGTTGAGCACGCTGGCAAGCCCGTGTAGTATATCGCCCCCGACCTCCAGCAGCAAACGGGGATGGAAGTTGTCCCAACCCAAGCCAGTGGCCATGGGGAACTTTCGGGTCACCAACTTGAGATCGCCGATCGTGATGGGATTGAGCGACCATTCCCCAGTCCCCCAAAACCTGGGGCGCTCCTGCTTCGTCCGGACTGGGTTCGCCCAGAGAGGGGGCCAGTCCGCGAGGACCCTTTCCAGGGCAGGCTGTCCAACGAGGGCGACGTCAGTGGGCCCGCCTCCAGGGTGGGCGCTGGCTCGACGTGGGTCTTCTTGGACACCCTGTGGGCAGCGGACCCCTGCCTCTCGAAGGCCATCTCGGTGAAATCGTCCCACTTCTGCTTGCTGGCTTGGGCGTCCTCATTGGCATGTTTGACAGCGAGCTGCCCAATCGTGGCCACGAGGTTGTAGCCCATGTCCGTCTGGAGGCCGACCTCGTCCCAGAAGCTGTTGAAAATGGAGCCGCCGAACACGGGGGCTCCCGGGTCCTGAAACTCGCCGCGAAGGCGGAGCGCCGCCTCGCGTAGCTGCTGCCCTCGTCGGGTCTTGTAGCCACCTGGCGAGCCGCCCGGGCCCAGGTCCCATCTGCGCCTGGCGAGGTGGCGGATGGGGGGCCATCGCTGGGTGGTGGGCGAGGCCGTGCCAAGACGGCCAGCATGTACCTTGACCTCGAGCGGGATGGTGACCGTCCTGATGCCCGTGGCACTGCCCTTGAACAAACGGGCCTCATCGTCCGACATGCCTTGTGGCGCCTGCGTGGCCATCCCGGCTTGGGTGAACCACTCCCTGATGGGGGCCTCAGGCCCAGCGTCGGCAGGAGGCCAATCGAGCGACTCAACCAACTGGTCGCGTCCGCCCGTGGCTGCGTCATCGGCCGCGATCTCCAGATCAAAAGCCCTGGGCAACCGCTGGGTCTGCGCCATGGGTCGCTCCCACCCCCCGCGAAGCACCAGGGGAACCGCTTGATGAGGGCCCTTCGGCGTGTCCGCGTGAGCCGTGATGGGGCCCACCATGGCCTCTAGCGCCGTCGAGATGACGAAGTAGTCGTACTCGTTGTCATTGCGCGTGGCTGAACCTGGGGCCAGCGCCGCCCCTCCTGTGAGGGCTGGCCAACCCGAGTCCACGGGCTCTGAGGTCTCGGTGTTCCAGTCGCCGCCAATCGCGCAAAGGTCGTCCAGGAGCGTGCGCCACTCGTGGAGGTCGGCTAGCAGCTGGCGATTGGGCCCTTGCAGGCCTACGGAGTCCTCCAGGTAGACCGAGATCGTGGCAGTGGTGGCGCCTTTGGCCCGCGAGGTCCCGCGGGGGAGGAACCCATGCTGCTGGCCTGCCCAAGGCTGGGTGAAACGCGCCGAGCCCGGCAGCTTAGAGGTGGCGATGCCGACGCCAGACGAGACGGACATGGCGGCTCTCCAATCATGAGCGCCGCCGAGCATGCCAGCTGGAGGCCGCGTCGGTTGGCCTAACCATGGGCCTGATCCTCAGCCGCCTGGGAGGAAAAGCGAATCTCCTGGACCAGCGTCACTTGCGGCTCGACCCCTCCTCTGCGCATCCACTCGAGGGCGCTGGCGATCGAGTTCCAGGTATTTCCATTGTAGGTGCAGATGCGGAGGTCGCCCTCTAGCGAGCCCTGCTGCAGTGCCAGGGGCTCCAGGTGGGGCAGGCACTGCTCAGGGCTGATGGCAAGCGCCCCTGCCGTCGCGGGCGTGCGCTCTGTGTGCTGGACCAGGCTCTGCAAATCCGCAGCCGTCGGGTCT